TAAGACTCAATGTGAATTTCTAGCACCCTCTAGGGAGAATCAGACTGGCATATTTGACAAGCCTTCTCATCTCTTTTCATTTGATGCTGTGACATGAAACTTGGGTGTTGCAATCAATACTTATCTGCTTTGCACTAGACTGGTTCTTCTTATGCTGTGATTACCACTGTAATAACTAAGCTCTTTTTCTGAGCCAAAGTGGGTTTCTTTAGACTGTCAGGTGGAATTTGGAAGAATCCAGAATGTTTTCTTCTCTATCAAGTGGCCTTGCTGGCGGAGGCCAAGGAAGTTGGATCCAGAATGGGATACCTAGTGGCTTTATACAGGTTTCATACTCGGTAGCTTCTCCAGGAAAAGGGAATTGCTTGTTCCTCAGCTGGTAACTCAATCTCTCAACTTTAGTCAATATAGCTTTGTCTCCCTGTCACCAGCTCTCAGGCTGCCATCAGCATGGCTGCTAAAGGCACTTGCCAGAGCACCCACAAGCAAGGCCCTTGGGAAGGTTTCAGTCACTGATGCTTTGTGGCAAAGAGGCAGAAACACGAATGGTCCTGCTCTCATGAGCTCTCAAGTATAAACTTCTCAAGACAGGATATGGCTTTTTCTTCTGCATTTGCCTGCCCATGCACAGCAAAAGGGTTGGCAGTGAGATCTCTGGTAATCCAGAGACCTTGCAACAACTGTACATGTTCATATTTCTGCAAACCCGATTCACAAGAGGCCACTCTTTAGGGCTTCCCTTGAGAGTTCATTGGTAAGGATATGAATGTACATTAATTTTTCTTCTTCCCAGAAAGCTCTTTTTCAGTCAACCAGGCACCTAGCTTGGCTCTGAATAAGACATAGAGATGAGAAATGATAAATTATACTCTAGACTGTGATCTCAGCAGCTTGCAGGCAGGGAGAAGACACATTAGCCTGAATAAACATAAGTCAGTAGACACCTGAGGTAAAACTAAGAGGGGCTTGAAAGCAGGCACTGGCTACCATCTCTGAACTATTTCACTGGAGTCTTTTCTTGGCTGTGTTAGTTGTTATCCTGGTGCAAGGTACAGGGAAAACAGAGCTCCTTCTAACATAACTACCCACAGATGGGTAGGCTGCCTGTGGTATCCCTCACAGACCATGTAAGTGTGATAAGTGATAAACAGTTCTGTGTCGGGACTTTGTCCAGGATGTGGTGCAGCTATGGGATATTTGAGGTTATTGCATTCGGTGACAAAAAATAATCTATACCTTTGTGGGGCATGGATTAGGCAGGTTATGAGCTAATATAAAGGAGAATAAAACAATAGGGTACCATCCACTCTTGGTACAAAGAATCTGGGTTTTGTCCCTTTCAAGAGATGAGACTATGGAGTGTTCCCTAGTGAAGTATTCCTAATGCTGACAACTGCTAATTCATGCAGCCTGAATAGCACACCATCAATACTCACCCCCACTCTAACTGAACACATCACAATTTCCTGACAAATCCAGTTCAGATCTTCGGTTTTATGGACTTTGCCAAGGCTTACCATCACAAACCAGGGTGGCAAAAGTCAGCAGGTATGGCAGGCTTAACAAGCCTGCAGCTGTGTCCTGAATCACAGGAAAGGGATCAGACTATGTGCAGGGAGGGACCTGCTGGCCTGCTGCTGGAAGGTGCAGGTCCGTGATCCCAGAAAAGAGCTCTGCTGGCCAGAGGAGAAGAGCTAATGAAGCTGTTTGTGCTCCCAGACAATGCCTGTTAAATTATCCACAACTACTCAGACCAGGTTGCCAATGTCGGCCTCTCAGGTGAAAAAGAAAAGGGTCTTAGTGATTCTCTCCACCTTCTCTGTCAAAATATAATCTGCCAATCATCTGAAGAGGAATGCAAGAGGAGAGCAAGGACTTGCATCGTTCCAAGGAATGTCATTCCTGCTTTCATCAAATTAAAGCTGATCTGTAATGTCTTGTGCCATTGAATTATTATTTCTCCTCTTACCTGCCATCCTCCCAGGTGTCAGTGCTACAGTCATCAACCTCAGTCACTTTAGCTTTCTCAGAGGGTTAGGAGAGGTTTTTTTCCTGTGGGCTGCTTGAGGGGATCAGGACTTGAAGTAAGAAAAATGTCTGGTTCAACTGCTCACTGAAGAACCAGAACACGAAGCAACACAGCAATTTACAAATCAATTTTTTAGCTTCCCAGATAAGCAGATAACTAAGCTATGATTGCAGCATTTAAATGAACTATCACACGCATCCCTACCTTTCCTGCCTAAGTACCAACACTGCCTTCCCTTTGCATTTGTATCTTCCACTTCTCAGCCAACAAGAATTCAACCATTTCTGTGGTCCTAACTCAGGTAATTAGCCAACAAACTCTGTTCATGAAGTCAATGAATGAAAAAAACAGCAGACAAAGTTGCTAATGAACTCCTTGAGGAGAGTACACAAAGAAAAAAGTAATTTGGCCCTCTCGCCCCCTGATACGGGTTTAATTCCACTACCTGGCCATTCAAAACCTCCCACACAAGCTCAATAACACTCTTTCTTCCAGTTCTGCAGTCACAAGTTTAACCATGAAAAACATTGAAGGAGAGAGATATATTTTAGAAACCTTTACAATGATCTAAAATAGCTCTTTGATGCATAGCAGATGTCTTCAAAACTCGCATAAATGGAGCCAAAATGCCTTGCAGTTCTGGAAAAGGGAGATTCCAAGATAAGACACGTTTCCAACTGCAGCAGCTCTGGAAAGGATTTGGAATTTATATTAATTGTCAACCTCAAGGAAAACATTTAAAAGAAGCCCTTCTGTCTCCCATTTTGAGACAAGTGTCTTACTGGGCTTTATGCTGCTCAAAGACCTGATGTCTGCCTGAAAGCAGTTCCTCTGTATCTGTAAAAGACAGCAGATGGGTTCAGATGGGGAAAAAGAAAGAACCACAATCAGTAACACATGGAGGTGACAGACTGAGGACTGCCTGCCCTTCATCATAACCTCTAGTTTGTTACACAGGAGGTGCTTGGCAGGCTTCACTGTAGGGAGGAGGACTGAGGAGGGATTCACAAGGAGTCAGTGAGATGGTGCTGAGGGATGCTAACAAGGCAACACCTCTGAGACACACAGCATGGGAGAAAAAATGTGAAGGGACATGCTGGAAAACTGAACAGAGCCAAGAAAACTGTCCCCACAGTCAGAGTAGGGATGGGATTCTTCAGTTCTGTTGCTAACTAGAAGGGATAGCCAGAGCGAGGATTTGTTCTGTGGAGACTTCTGTAAAAAGGGAGAAAAAAAAAATCTGTGTCTGATACAGTGAAATAGGTGGTACAAATGAAAAAAAACTCCCACAAAGCAGCAACAGCCAAAACGATGAGTCAGGACAAGAATCTTCTCACTGCTCTGAAGAAAGCATCTCATGTGTACCAGATCTTAGATTTTATGAAGATTTAACGCCCTTAACTCAGTGTTAGGCTGTGCTCACAGAGTAGCTAGGGAGTATCTTTTAGTTGGATACAAGAAAGAGAACTTAAAGACTGATGCAGCGGTAATATGGAAGATTTGACATGAAGTAAACCTTAAGAACAGAAATATCACAGCGAGAAGATTCTATATATACATAATTAAAAATGAAAAAAAGAAGTTCTCTTCTCCTACGAACGTAAATGGCACAGTCATACTTAATTTAGAAAAAAACCTGAAAAACAGAAGAGGAAAGTCAGGTAGGGATGATAATACCACAGATGATTAGTGTTCCCCTAATCAGCCCTGCTCTCACCTCCTCTTGGCAGGCTTTCCCCATCTTTTTCTCTTGGTATTGCAAGAAATGGGCCAGAAATACAGACTGCATATCTAGCTTTCATATACATGAAAGCTCAGGAGAACTTTGGTTTGGCTGAAGACACAAGACAGGAATTTAAGTAATCCCAATCTCAACCACAGGCTCCAAATCCAGGGGCTTCTGGATGTAGCCCTTAGATTAAGCTCTGTTCCAATGTGTCATTCTACCTTTCTCTCTCCAACTTTCTTTCTGCAACACTTTCTGGCTCACTTTTCTCCTCTTTTCTGGCTGCTGAACTGCAGTAGAAAGCTGGACTATCTGTAGCATATGCAGAATGTTTGTTCTCTGCCTCCCTCAAATCCTCTTTAACCCTTTACATATGTAGGAGTATCACGGAAGATTGTTCATATGGGGCTAATCAATGCTTTCCCCATGCATTTTAGATAAAAGTATATCTGACAGGAAAAGCAATCAGATAAAGAGTTTTTCTCTCCTCCAAGGACATGATATGGAAGGATAGAAATCTACTTCTTGTTCTCATCCTACTGTTAAATCTTTAGGGGTTGAAGGTACCCAAGCTGCTAACCCCCTTTTAGTCTGGCTACTACAAAGACATTCTCCTCCCAACCTTGCCACATCCTTGAGCTTGGAGGGCACAGTCAGACAGCAGAACAAAGATGGTGAGTTCTCCTTTATTCTGTTACCATCCTGCTCTTCACTCACCTTGAAGATCAATTGCCTTCTTTAGTCACCTCAGAAGACACAGGACTTTTGGCTGTGTGCCAAAGTGGAGAGCAGTATGAAATGAATATGAAAAATGGGCTACTGTTTGCCTCTCCCTTTTAAGGCAAATCAGTAGGAAGCAAATCCCATGGTTTTCAGAAAGAACCTCTTTTATGCAGTGTCTCAACAGAAATCCTTTTCCCTCAGTCTAGCACCAGCAGCATTTCATCTCCACCACTGTGCTGTGCAGTACCAGCGGTAGAGATTGGGACAACTAGATGAACACCTAAGCTAAATAGAATTACAGGTCCAATTCTGCAGAGCATCTATTGAAGTAATTTCATTTGTTCACTTGGAAAACCTGGTTATTTTGCCTGGGAATTCAAACTGCAAAACAAGCTTGAAGTACATTTAAGATTCTTGCCACTTTTCTATAGCTGCCTATATTGCTACTGAAATTTTCTTTGATGCTGGAAGAGAAGGGAACTACTGTACAGATCACAAATTGAATCCAGTTGGATTTCTTACCTGTGGGAGTGAGGTGCCTCCAGGTGATGACAGGCTCAGGACGCCCATTTGCCATGCAAACCAGGGTCACATTGCTGCCCTCATTCACGGTGATGTCCGAGGAGATATTGGAGATCTTTGGTGGAACTGCAAAGACAAGAGAAAGTTTGACATTGTTAAAAGCAGAATTATGGAGGGTAGCTTGCCTAGCCTAATCAGTTACCTACCTATTAACCAGAGCCAGCCACAAACTCACCTCACAGGCTGCACCCCTCTCACTACTAGCTGGGTTTCTGAAATTACATCAGAGTAGGATGTACTGGTGTGTAGTTTGTATTTCAAGGGTCTACAGCTAGAAACAGCCTGTGCTGCAACTGCAGCTTTGTGTTTGCACAAGTTTGGGGGTCTTCATAAAATGACCTCTCAGAACTTTGCCTGCCTACCTCAAGGCTACCTGGAAGGGATCAGCAGGCTCCAAGTATCATCCCAGCTAATTTTTACACTCTGGGGAGTCCCAGATGGAGTTCTGCATCCTCCTGTGGGATGCCAGGCTTCAAGGCACTGACTCAAAGGGTGAATTAGTTATGGGTTTCTGTGACACCTTTCAGCCAAGAGGGATCCCCCATTTGCTACCTGCAGTAGGCAGTCTCTGGATGACTGCACCACCCATGGCAGAGCACCAAAGGCACAGTAGAATCTTTAAGATTCACAAGATCAGCCATGACTTGGACATTCAAGATCCTTAAAAACTTTCCAAACTGAGTTTGTGTCATGGTGCCAGAGTAACCATGAACTGGGACCTGAACAGGCACTTCCAGGTGTGGAGTGTGCCAGCTGCTGCAGTCTTTCCTCTCTCACACCCATGTCTTGCTTCCATGCTTCACACTCCATGTCAGGTGGTGGGGGATTTTCACTAAAAAGGAATCCTCTAGTTTGTTTTTTTTAAATATATTTTCAGCTTCCAAATTTGTGTGTAGTGAGGAATGAAACAACATAATTTTCTGCTTTGCTTACCACAGAGTAAACAGACAGCAGCTTCCCCTTCCCCCTGCCTGGCAGGAGTGGCTGATGGTCCTTTTGAAGCAACACTGCCTATAAGCTAGGTGGGGAAAAGGAAATGAAGCCTGAAGAGAGCAACTCACTACTTCCAGCTGTGTTGCTGGATTCACAGGAATGTTGTTTACAACCCACAGCTCATTAGCCCCTCTCTGTAGGCCCCAAACTCACGGACAACATTTGAGTATCTATGGCCATGGGACTCCCGTGAAGGAAGGGGACTGTTGAGTAAAGTGAGGCAGACATCTATTTCCCAACAGGCTCACTCAGGCAGGCAAGGAGAGATTGAAGGCAGGGGCACTGAGGAAGGGTTGTCGTGACCTGTGGAGAAGAGACAATGCAGAGGGCAGTGAGGGAGCAGCCAGGGGCAGCACAATGGGGAAGGCTTTTGCATGCCTTGTGAAAGCAGGACAGCTGGGGGCCCACCTCAAATGCCTGTGCACCACTGCAAGCATCGTGGTGGAAAACCAGCAGGAATCTGATGTTCACACAGATTCACAGAGGGATGTGTGTGAAAAATCATTGGGATGTTGGAGCTGGGTTGAGACAGCTCAGGACTGGCATGTAACTCAGATACAGGCTTTCTAAGAAAGACAGGTGGGAAAGGAGAGGAATAAAATTGCAAAGCAGTGGCTGGCATGTACCCAGGTCTGGATGGTGAACTAGCTCAGATGTAAGGATCAGAGATATCACAGCATCACTCTTGTTCCTTGGTGGTTGTTACCAATTACTTGATTAAGAAGAGGCAATACTGCGTTAGACAGGTAGAATAAGCCTCACAATAACAGTCCCTCTTTAGGGACAAACCACATTGATATTTTCAGGAAGGGAAAAATTTCAAGGCTCAAGCAGTCACACGTGGGAGTCCTTCAGGTTCAGCATGAGTTAGCAGTATGCCCTTGCAGCAAAGACCAAACATCCTGGGTTGTATTAGCAAGAGTATAACCCCCAAGTGGAAGGAAGTGTCTAAAACCCTTTACATGGTGCTTATGAGACAGCATCTCAGGCACTAGATCAGTTTGGGGCTCCCCAGAACAAGAAGGCTATAGACACACTGGAGCAAGTCCACTGGAAGGCTCCCAAGATGGGAGAACCTAAGAGAGATGGGTCTGCTCAGTCTTGAAGAAGAGAAGGCTGAGGGAGATCTTGTTGCTCTCTAAAAAAAGTGAGTGGGAACGTGCAGAAAAGACACAGGCAGGCTTTTCTCAGAGGTGCGTAGTGAACAATGAAAAGCAGCTAACATGATCTGCAATTTAGGGAAAATTCTGACTCAAAATAAGGGAAAAGCTTTTACTTTCAGAAAGGGCTCCTCAGAGAGGGGATGGAAACTTATCCCTGGAGATACAGAAAACTCACTTCCTTTCTTTTCCAGTGGATGAGGGGAACATCCTGTTCTATGGCTCAGGACAGACCTGCTCATTGTTCCAGCTAGCAAATCTGCAGGCTGGCAGAGCCCTGAAAGTTCTGGTGCCAAAATACAAAGTGCTACTCTTACTTACTGAGAACAAAGCAACTTGGAGGGCCACCTCAGACCTGATAGAAGACCAACATGCACAGGAGAGGACAGAGGGGCTTAGTCTGGGAAAGAACATCAGAGGCTGCTATTTCTGGTGAAGTTGTGGCCCAGGTGTTCTGTCAGGGGACACAAGGACAGTGACTTTGGAGCACAATTTATCCATGGTGCTCACTGGGTAAGGAGAGCCCAGGAGTAAAACCAGTGGCTATACCACATTTTGGGAATATTATCGTAACCTCAAGGGGTTAACATTTGCATAAGGAAAAAAAAGCCATGCAACAAACCAGGAAGGACTAAGCTAAAGCAGGACTAGCAGGTGAAGCTGTGGGCCAGTGTGAAGTCCTAGTAGAATGGTGCAATGCCAGCCAAAATGGCTGAGGAAAGAGCAGCAAAAGCCACTACAGGGGAGCAGCAGAGCCCCAGCTGGGACATGTATAAACTGCCGCTCTCCAAAGCCGTCAAGACATTTTACTTCACAGAGGATCAAATAAACTCAGCCAGCACAAGCAGTTTTGACCATGCCTACTGAATGCCCAAGAGGAAGAGCATGTGTCCAGATGGTTGCCACTTTTTCAGATGAGGGTGAAAAGGACATCCAAGACTGAAATCCTGTTAGGAATATAATGGCTGGTTCCTTTCAGCTGGCACCTCAGTCAGAAGGCAAGGAAAGGCTAAGACAAGGGGGAATAGGGCAGAAAATAATTTCCCTCTGAATTTAAAACCTGGCTTGGCTTCCTCTGTTTAGAATCCAAAGCCAGTGGACAATAATTTCACTCAGATAAAAAGTCAGAGACTTTTAATTTTCAGGGCGTCAAGCCAGCATGTTAAAATGCCAGAACTGTCAGCACCAGCAACAGTTAGCATTGCCTCCTTGGCACTTGTCATTACTTTGCACACACCTTTTTAGGACAACCTTAAAATGAGAAGCTTTGACCTTATTATTTTTCCCCATGTGTGGGTTGTATTATGTTTTCACAGGTCCCAGACAGCTGAAAGAAGGATTGCTGAGAATAAAACCTCCTGGGACCAGAATCTCCTGGGTGTCACAGCCTGCATTTGCCCAGCCATCTCCTATTGACCCTCAAGTGGAAAATTCTTCTGTGACTGGTCTCTCCGAACCATTAGCAGGGGCAAACCCACAAGCTGCAGCCCCACAGCAGGGCAAATACTACAGCTCAACAGCACTTACAGGCATTTTCATAATTTGACTAACAGCTTTTTACTTCAGGGTAAAACACGCTGCTGCTAGACCCCTCTGGCTCCAAGGACCCCTCTGGTTCCAAGGAAAAGCACTGCCAGGGTCTTAGGTACTGCTGAAAAAGATAGGATTAACATATTTTTCTGCTCTTTCAGTGTAAATCATATCAAGTATCCATTACAATGTGCTTGGGACGCCCCTGGTTGGGGTGGGGAGCAGAGCCATGAAAGGAAGCACGCTGTAGTACCCCACTTCTCCATCCCCAGACAGGGAGGATGCCCTGCCCACAGCAGGGACTGATTCTGGAGAGATGGGAATGAACACTGAGAGGCATGGCTTAAAACTCACATATTTGTTTCTTCTACATTTCACATCTACGGCACAAGGCTGATGCCAGCCCAGCATCTCATCTTCCACGTCACTGACAGCAAATAACAAATCCCAAAGTAACCAGCGGCCATTCTGCATGAGAGAAGCTCACATTGGAAGGGATGGAGAGCTGCAAGGCAGGAGTGAGACAAGGGCAGAGATACTGTAGGGTGCCCTGGACCGGGAGGGCAGCAGGGCAGGAGGGGTACAAGGTCAGAGCTGGTGTGGCAGATTTTAAGTCCCAAGAAAGATACAGTGACAGAGCTGGGTAGAACAGGCTTGTGCAGAAACAGCTTGCACCGAGGCTGTTCTAGTTAATTGCCGTCAATCCTTCACTTCATGACAACTGCAACTCACATTAATTTAAATAATAAGAAAGACTGAGACATGAAAAATAGATCATGCTCCCCCAGCACAATCACTGTTGCTCTCCAGATGAAAGCAGGTGATTTGTTTCCACAAAAACACCCGCTATAGCAGTTATTGCAGACCAGGGGCTGCATACGCAAGGCAGCAAGGAAACCACAAACAAGCAAACACACAAACATCTGCTGCTGTTATCCTTGCCTTTTATGACCAAAGCCCTTCAGAGCTCAAAACTCCTCCTGAGATATTACCTGGGATGGTGTGGGCGGGCTGGATCAGTGTTCTGATTCAAGGCTGTGGAAGGAGGCAAGGAGCAGTGCTACATCCCTAATGTCAGTAAATGAGTGAGGTTAAGAGACGCAAGTTCACATGCAGGAGACAAACTCATTAGTGCCTTTCCAGGGGTGCATGGGGGATGGCACAAGAAAGCACCAAGGCCACCCTTGCTAAAGCACTGCTTCTAGAGATCTTTTCCTGATGTTGTTTATGCTGAACCTGACCTATGCCACAGCTCCCAAACAGTTCAGATCCCTGCCTTTTGATCAGAGCACCTAGACACAGCACAGGCACAAAGTGGCAGGAGTGGGAGCCTCTGCTTAGCAGAAGTTGTACAAGGGGTACTCACAGGCTGGGGGCACTAGT